GTTTTGAGAATGATGTACAAATGCGCTTTATACAATTGATGTGTGTATGGATTGCGATAACAGTTGTATGAGCCCCTAATAAAATGTTTAAAAATAAATAAATAAAATAACCTCTGTAAATAGGAAACTGTGTACACGCACGAGCCAGTTCAGAATCAGGTGTTCCTAATCCGTTGGTAGTCCTGACTCATGGCCAGGAGGTCGCTTGGGCGGAGCCAACCACACAGTCAACTGTTTGAAACTAGCCTGGCCGCTCGGTGGGGAAAGACTGGCTTGCTATTCCCGTGAAGCGTTGCAGTCTCTGAAACCCGGGGTCAGTATGAGACGACCTTATGTGGGTGCTGATTCTAACGCGTGGCGACCCTATGAGTTTAATGGAATCAAACACTGCCCAGTCCTGGGTTCTCCCCCCAGTGGTTTTTGTGTTGAGTCCCTTGTGTACAGCCATGGGGTCAGTCCATCTTTTTCTCTGACCCTCTGCTTTACCAAGCCGGAGCGTCTCCTCCAGGGCCTGGTCCAAATACACGAGTGGAAATCGCACCATCCTTGCTGCCTTGAAATAGGATCGTGGCTGTACTTCCCCTTCAGATAGATTCCTTCGTTCTTCCCCCATCCCAGCGTGTAGTCAGTATCCTTTGCCAACACTGTAATTTACAGGCATCCGTTCTTTCTGGTCTTCCTTATTCCTGCCCCAGGTTTTACATGCATGCGAGGTGATTAAAAACACACAACGTGGGGCAGGAACCCCTTAGCCTTCAAAGTCGCATCTTTGCGTCCATTCCCTTTAGAGGGGCCTTTGGCAGCAGATGCCCCTGATGCACTATGTCTTCTGGTTGCTTTATTGCTGCCTCCGCGGGTGTTGCTTGTGAATTGAGCAATCAAAGTATAAGGAAGTCCTTTACAATTGCAACCTTCTCTCCACTGATCATGCTGCTGCTTCGTGGTCCAGTTATGAGGGCTCCTACTTTCTCTCTGTTGGGAGGTAATCCATACCTGTGTGTCGTCCTTGATCTTCATCAGCGAGTGGTCACATCCTCGTTACGCTCAGTGAGCAAGATTGTACCTTGCAGATGGTTTACAGGCTGCTCGGCCCTGCAGCCATGTCCCCGGCGGCCTGCGGGTCGATCATGCCAAGTTGCATGTGCTCTTTATTTTACATGCATGGCCAATTTGTCATTCATGTGTTTTATCTCATTGGCCAAACTCTAGAAAAGAAGACACAAAACGTTATGACTGCCACCGTTCTGTCACAGCCGTGATGATGCTTTTCCAGCATTGCCTGTTCTTCCAATGCACATTGTTACAAAATAGCAATCAAGGGGCATGAGGTACTCCCTAGCCCTTGTGCCTTTTTAAATTCTTACAAATATAATACCCACTCGCTGCTGGCAGTTAGTCCCTTAGAACTCAGAGCATCCCTCTCTCGGGGTTCCAAGCCTGTAAATCTTTACAGACACAGAAAGCCTCATCATCGGGCCATGGAGCAGCTGGGAAGCTGACACTGCCGGCCTTGTAGCCGACAGCCCAGTGGGCATCCCACCACTACCAGGGATCCTTTACAAAGGAAAATCGACCTCGCTGCCAACCCAATGCAGACTCAGAGCAACCCCGTGGGGTTCCCAGTAGAGAACTTAGTCTTTCTCCCTTGGAGCTGCTGGTGGTGTGGAACTGCCGGCCACTCAGGTTGAAGCCCAACGCATCACCAGTACACCCCCAGAGCGCCATTCAAAGGATGGTGGCTTTGTGTTCCTGGGGGGAAGACGTCAGTACTTCCACTCTCCATCCCACCATGTCTGCCTCTCTCCTATGGGATGCCAGAGATAGTAGGAAGATGTGCATTTGACTGGGAGGATGCTGGGGGAAAATTTGTAAAGGTGTGAAACAGACTTGGGGTGACCCCTCAGAAGCTGCCTCCCTGAAAGGCAGGAGATGAATCACACTGACCAAGGTTAAGGATTAAGGGTGGACGCATTCCCTCCACGTATATGAGTCTCAGGCGTCTCCACCCCTGTGCAGGGAGGTATGGTAGACCAGGTTGACTAGAGAAACACATCCAGGGACACGCAGACATGTACAGTGAACCCTCGTTTAT